GTTGTGCTGTCTGGAGGGCACAGGTCGCTCACTGGCAGGGGATTTCTGGAGAAATACAGCATAAAAATGTTAGTGTCCCTCCAAGGGAGCGGCAGCCTGTTTGCCGGGCACATCTTTGGTCCCTAAACCACAGGTCAGAGTTTGGAGGGAAACAGCTGTCGGGCAGGAGGCTGCTCCTCTCCCAGACATTCCCAAATTCACCTGCTCTTATCCACCTGCTCTTATTTTTCTTAATTGCTCTCCTTCCTGCCTCCTGCTTCCTTCCTTCCACAAACATGTGTGGAACTGATACAGTGTGCCAAGCACTGTTCTGAATTGGAGGATGAACTTGACATTGGGGGTGGGGGGGACAGACAATCAGCAGGGACCAATGACACCAGCCAATGACGGGGCACTCACAGAGGAGATGTTTGAGCAGACACTGGAAGAGGAAGAGCAGTGATGTGAAGAGGAGGTAGGGAAGAGCAACCGAGCAGAGCAGCATGTGCCAAGGCCCTGGGGTGGACTGGGAAAAGAACAGAAAATGAGAAAACTCAAGAAGCCCAGCCACACCTTGACAACCCGGTCATTTCTAGCCAGCTCCGGGCTGCTCAGGGGATGCTTTAGACAGGGAGATTAGACATGCCTGGATGCAAGAAAATTTCTTGATCTTTGATTAATCTGATGTTTTCTTCAATTATGAAAAAAAAACAAGGAACATATTGTGTGAGTTTTCCCTCGTGGTTGATGTAGATAGTAACGTTAAAGAAGTAAGCGGTCACTTTCCCACGAGGGACCCTCTGTCTTCCTCACCCCAGCACGTGGCACATGCCCAGGAAATAGGAAGGAAGTGTGGGACGGACAGGAAGCAGGGCACGGCAGCCCGGAGCCCTCTCCGGCTGCTTCTGCTCCTGTCTGTGCGCGGACCTTCCCTCCAGCGCGGGGGCGCGGGGTCTCAGCTCGGCACTGTGGGGTCTCGGAGCTGGGTCCTCCACAGAGGGGCGGGCTCTGTGCACTGTAGGACGGGCCGAGCCACCCCCTGGCCCCTGCCTTCCAGAACTGTGACGACCAGGGGACGGCCACACATTTCCAATGTCCTCTATGCTGGGATGGGGGTGGGGGACACATTCACAATCGCCCCTGTCACCGCCTGAGTGTGATGGCCAGGCACTGTCCCTCCAGGGAACTTTAGCCTCACCTTGCTTAGGATGAACTTGACATTGGGGGCGTCAGCTTCTCCTGCTTCTCTCTGCCACTGGTACCCCCGATACACACAGTCACACACACAGTCACACACAGTCACACACTCACACACACTCACACACACTCACACACACTCACAGTCACACACACACACAGTCACACACACACACAGTCACACACACACAGTCACAGTCACACACACACATGCACACAGTCACACACACACAGTCACACACACACACAGTCACACACACACACACACTCACAGTCACACACACACCTGGCTGCGCCCATTCCCACTCTGGCATCTTGAAGTGTCAGACGTGAAGTCCCCCCCCCCCGTCCACCCTGGTCACCCCGACTCTGCAGGTGCAGTGGCCCGTCCACCCTGGTCACCCCGACTCTGCAGGTGCAGTGGCCCGTCCACCCTGGTCACCCCGACTCTGCAGGTGCAGTGGCTGCTCCCAGGAACAGGGCTTCCGCGGGGACGTGGGCACCTGCTGCCCAGGTTTCTCTGCCGCTGTCTGAACCCTGACGAGGGGCTTCTCTGGAAACAGCTGCCGTCACTCGACCCTGGGAGGGGCCCCTCGGCTGACAGAGCAGGTCACATTGTCCCCGACAAGTCCAGCTCTTGCCCAGGGACACCGGCCAGAGGCGCTGCTGGGGTTGGGCCCCAGGGCGTTCTGGTCCTCGGGTAGGAACCTCAGCACCCAGGTTTGCCAGGAGGCGTTGGCTAAACGCCAGGTGCCACCTGGAGCGCTCTTGCCACCTTCCCCACAGAGACCTGGGACCGTGACAGGACAGGGTCACGTGGCTGGGCCCAGGAGCCCCTCCAGGACAGAGGTGGGCAAGTCCGGCTCAGTAGCACAGCCATCCCCCACCCCCTGGTGCCTCAGGGCAGGCCCGCGCGTGGTCAGACTCTGGAAAGGACAGGGCAGCTCTGGCGAGAGAGGTGCTGGGCTGAGCCCAGGAGAGCAACTCCCTCCCGAGATCATGAGCTGAGGTTCCAGCAACAGGACCCGGGAACAAACAGGTAAATACGTGAGATGAGCCAGATTACCACCTGGAGGGGGGAAGCAGGCCCAGCAGTGGACCGCGGTGGCGGGTGGGCGTCTCCATTCTCATGGGCTTCTTAAAAGGCTGAGATTGACGTCTCACACTCCAAGGCCTCTGACCCAGCTGGTCTGAAGAGGAGCCAGGCATTGTTTTATCAAGTCCCAAAGTGGTTCGAGTGGGTGGGTCAGGGTGATGGCGAGGCACCGTTCAGCGGGTGAGGGTGGGCAGGTGGCCTTCCTGAGGAGGTGTCTTTGGCTAAGCCAGATGGACATGCAGATAAAGGCCCTAGGCCAAAGGAATTGCATGTGCAAAGGCCCAGTGGCAGGAGAGAAGATGGTGCCGGAGCTTCAGCAGAACTTGTGCATCCAGGAGGAGTGGGGAGAGATGGGGTCAAAGAGCTGCCCGCCCTGGCTCTCAGTGCTCAGGAGCCAAGGGGGCTCAGACTGCGGTCCCAGCACACAGTGGGCCATGTCTCAGCGCTCAGTGGGCCATGAAACCCGTCCAATGGGCCACAGCCCACAGGGGAGGTGGTGGCAAGGTCARAAGAGAAGACGCCGGCCTGTGGTGCACACGGGGACGGCACGGTGTTCTGGGACTTTTATTCGGGGTTTGATAGAGGGGGACACAGGGCTGCCTTGTCAAGGGGTTTCTAACCTGAGTCTGGGTCAGAGCATTCAAAAGCCACCGTTTCTAGTCCCTGTGAAAGTTTGGAATTTAGCCCCAGGGCCGTGGGGAGCCATTAAATAAGTTTTAGTGGGGGCACAGCCAGGTCAGGTGTGTGTTTAAACCTTGCTCCAGGAGCTGAAGAGGACTGGGAGGCGGGCAGCGGAGGCTGGGAGGTGCCTCTGGAGGCTGCTGGCGTCTGGGGAGGCGGCAGAGAGAGCCCAGCAGCCCCCCCAGCACAGGGCTGCACTCGGCTGGAGGGAAACGAGCTGTGGAGGGGGTGGAGGGGACGAGCTGTGGAGGGGGTGGAGGGGAAGCAGGGCTCGCTCCCAGCCCTCCCAGGGGAGCCCTGACGTCGGTCACCACCTTTCCTGAGCCGGGCATCAGAGCATGGCCCACCAGGGGCTCTTATTTGGGTACTTCCTGATGCCAGAGGGTCTGCAAAGCACCCGGGGGCATCATCTCATTTAACCCCCTTGAAGGTGTGGTCATCCCATTTCTCAGATGAGGAGACCGAGGCCCAGAGAGGCTGAGTTGCTTGCCCAGGGTCACGGCTGACATCAGGTGGCAGACTGGCACTCCAGCCCAGTGCCGCAGCCTCAGGCCCGGGTCCTGGCCCATCGGGGGCGGTTCCCTGGGAGCCGGGCTTCCTGGGTTGGAGTTTCAAAGGGGACGAGGCTGGATCTGCCTTCTCTCCCGCCCCTCAAGTTCTTGGTCCTCTCCCCTCGCCTCTGACCCCCAGCCGTGGGCGGAAATTAGAGCCCCAGACCTGGGAGCCCTGAGTCCCTGGGCACTGCAGAGGACAGCCCCCCTCGGCCCCAGCAAGAGGCTGGAAAGAAGTCACAGTGCCCGGTGGCCCTACTGGCCGGATCCCCGCTCTGACCTGCCGCGCCTGACCTCAGGTGCCTTCTTCCCCGCGGAGCACTGTTTCCCTTGGCCTGGGACCAGACAGGTGAGCACCCGGCTGGGGCAGGCCCGGGCTGGCTTGGCTCCTGGCTTCCCGAGCTGGGCACGCCCACGCCTCCCTTGGCTCCTTCTGCCAGGCCGTGCCCCACCGGTCTGAGTGGCCCTTCCTAGAATGTTTGTCCAGTCAAGGTTGACGGACTTCCAAGCCGCCGTCTGCTGACTTTTGCAGGAAGTTCTGGCTCCTTGTCCTCTGTTGGGATGCGAGTTGCTCAGGGAACGAGACCCGCGGTGTCTGCAGAATCCACCGTCTGCAAACTGGCACCCGCGTCGCCGGGGGTTAGGCAAGTGGGACTGCAGCCGGAGGGGGATGGGTGTCCCTGACCAGGAGACCCGGGGGCAGCCCCAGGAGTCTTCCCTGTTTGGTTTGTCCATCTCTCTCATTCATTCTGTGCAGGACCGTCGGGGCACAGGGTGGACAGGAGCACCTGGTTAACAATCCGCCTCCTCGGGGAGCGGCTGGTCTCATGACCACCATCCAGGGTGGACGTCCAGGCCTCACCCATGCACGGAGCAGGCCGCACTCCACGAGGAGGCGGATTGTTAACCAGGTTAAAAATATAAAAAGTTTAACACAATATAGCAAAACCCAAGATAGCAGAACTTAAAAGCATCACCAGCACTTGGTTTTCCTTTTGGTGCCGACTCCGGGAGACCTGACGTGCGCCTCATGGCCCCATCTCAGTGTGGAGCAGCCACGGCTCCAGCCACACGTGGCTCGCGCCCCTGGGTACGCCTGAAGGGAGAAGTTGTTTGTCACAGAGTTAAGGACTGGCCTACTGACTCCAGGGGCCCTAAGGACTAGAGGGACAGCTCAGGGTGCAGGGGATGAGGGGTGAGTGTGGAACTGGCAGAGGAGGGATGGGGTGGCTTCCTGGAAGCAGTGACATTGACTCAGAGGAGGGGACACAGGAGTAATTATGCGTAGACCCCCAGGTCGCAGGGAGCCTGCTGCTCTTAGGGGACAACAGAATGTCAATGTCACTGAGGGTGGAGGAGTGAGGGACTGATGGAGCCAGGTCCAGGAGGCCCAGGGCGCAACTGCTGGTGTCACGCCCACCCGTCTGGCCGTGGCAGTGGGCACGTGGATGGCCAGCTGTGGCCGCACCGTCACTTCACACATCTGGGCAACGGGCATGGCCAGGGTCCTGGACACCTCGTGGCCCAGCCCCAGCCACGGCGCCTCCTTCCAGGATGTCAGCCCTCGAGGGTGAGGGGCTCCCCGCCAGGTTCCCAGCGATGAGCTCACAGTGGGTGCTCCCCGTGTGGCTGAAGGAGTAGGTGACCTAAGTCCTCTCTGTACAGTGGCTTTTTTTTTTTTAGATTTCTTCCCCCATCTTCCTCCTTTTCCGTTTTCTCTGTTTTCACTTGTTTTTCCTGTGGCTATATTTTCATTGCCCCAGAAATTCCAGAGCCTGGGATTCCTCAGCCTGCTTTCAGCATTTGAAGCTCCAGTCGGCTAAGCTGATTTGGGAACCTCCAACCGACTCCCTAATCCCCTTGGCCTGTCTCAGCCCACGAGGCGCCCTTTGGGGGTCTGTCTCATTTTCCCCAGCAGGCTCTGCGCGGCGTCAACTGTGGCCAAGGGGGGATGCGCTTAGGCTGTTGAGTTGGGGCTTCATTTAGGACTTGGAAGTCCCTCCCTTCTCCTGTTTCAGCAGTTTGTGATTGAATGTGGGGTGGGGGGTGCAGAGGCCAGCCTGTTCCCAGAAACGTAACCCTACAACTCAAAGCGACAATGCCATTCCCATCTCTAAGGCCACTTTTATCAAATGTTCATCCATATCCTCCACTAAACCAAGGCATGATGTTCAAAAACAGAGCAACTGAAGGGATCTTTGGTTGGCACCCTTAATTTGAAGACACTAAACTGCAATTCTTGGTGAAAAGTCAGTTCTCAGATCTTTGTAGTAAGCGTGATAGAAATACAATGAAATTGTTTCCTAAAATCCAGTGTTGGTGGGAACTGATAGTGTCCACAAGTGGCCGCCATTTTGAAATCTCCTCTCTTTCTGTTTCTCCACTGGTTTCTCAGTGGAAACTGGAGCTCTCTACTTGCTTAAGTGTGTATACAAGTAGAGGAAAGTTTCTCCACCATTGCTGATTTTGACCCCATGGGACATTTGGCAATATTTGGAAACACTTTTGGTTATTACAACTAGGGGAGAGGGAAGCCATTGGTATCCAGAGAGGAGGGGGATGAGGGGTGTTTCTGAACAGCCTACAGTCCACAGGGTATCCCTGCACAACCAGCAACCATCTACCCCACATCTCAACGCTGCCAAGGCTGAGAAATCCTGAGATATGTAGATATTCATTGCATCATTGATAGAAATGGCAACATATTGTTTACGTTCTCTGATACACTGAGCCAAGCCTATGTCAGTTTATTCATCTGCCTCTCTATATAAAATACCCAGTCAGGGAAGGGTTAAATAAACGTGGGCACATCATTTCAGTGGAATGCCATGGACCAGGTAGTTCTATGTACTGATGTTAAAACTGTCCACGTGTACTTCTAAGTTGGAATAAGAACACACACGACAGAATTTTTGTTAAAATAAATGAATGTCTGTTTGGGTGGTGTTCAGGAATTCTGTAGACGTGATCATGGTGATTAGACTGTTTTCAATAGGAGTCTTTTTCATTAGTGATTCATAGTGAAATATTTACAAATGGAACCATATTCTGGAATTCACTTTAAGATACTATAAGAGGGAACGTAGATGGTGTGAATCTGGGACAGAACTGACCTTGAGATGATAGTTGCTGGGGCTGGGGGACAGGGCAGGGTCTCCATCAGGAGGCTCTGGGTATTTTGCAGATGTAAAGAAGCCAGGCAAGATCCCACACCATTAGTAAATGGCAGAGCCAGGATTTGAACCCAAGACCCAGGAACCCCAGGGAGCCTGCGTAGTCACCTACTGTTCCAGGCTATTGCTGGCTCTGCCCACCTCCCAGGCTGCTTGGGAGATGGGGTGCCCTGGGCATTGAAGGCCTCCTGTTTTGCTGAGTAGAATTCAAAAAAAAAAAAAAAAAAAAAAAACAGGTCCTCATGCCTGCTAGGCAAATGCTCTAGCACCGAGCCACACCCCTGGCCCTTTAGCGCCACTTCTGAAGAGTTACTGCTCTGCCCCTCCTGCCCCCGTTACTTGAACCTGCTCACAGGTGTTAAAGCTAGTTAATAGGAAATGCAGTGGAAAGATGAAGAAATTAACACCATGCGGATATAAACAGACAAATCTAGAACATGAAATGTTCTAAAAGACAACTGACCTAGTTCTTCAACACGTCAGAAGGCTATTAAAAGGAGGGGAGGCTCTTCTCCATCTTAGGGCTGTGACAGACACCATAGGCAAACCTCAGGTGTGATCTGTATTGATCACAGACCTGTAAACCAAACGAAAGGGGTGGGGCCTGGGAGGCGTGGCGTGGCTTAGGAGGTGGGGCGTGTCCTGGGAGGTGGGGCGTGTCCTGGGAGGCGGGGCGTGTCCTGGGAGGTGGGGCGTGTCCTGGGAGGCGGAGCGTGTCCTGGGAGGCGGGGCGTGTCCTGGGAGGTGGGGCGTGTCCTGGGAGGCGTGTCCTGGGAGGCAGGGCGTGGCTTAGGGTGGGCGTGGTCTGGGAGGCGTGGCCCTGGAGGCGGGGCGGGGCCCGGGAGGTGGGCCTGGGCTGTTCAGGCGGTGGGCCAGCTGTGAGGGTTAGTTGCGTGTGCTCAGGGAGGCGGTCCGCTGTTCAATGAAGTGTGGTGGAGAGAAGAGACTGCTGGTCTGAGTTTGTTCCAGACACTATTTAGCAAAGAGGAAAATAAAAAAGCTGACCAAAGATATGTGCGATCAACTCACAAATTGCTCCATCTGCGCGGTGGGTTCTCTGCGATCCATTCCACTCCTGGATCTGCCTCGTGCCTCTGAAAGACCTGCTGGACCTCACCTGGAAACCAGCTAACCAAATAGGGAGCCGGGTGCAGGGGTGGGGTGGGGGCTTCACTGTGAAACTGCCTAAAACCCAGCCAACCTCAAAACTAGAATAACAACATTCAAAAACCCCGAACCACTGCATGGCCCATTCGAAGTCAGGCTAATGGTGTAATTGGAGGAGATGGGTCATAGAAAAGATTAATTTGAAGACATCTGCTGCTGTCAGCGGCAGATGGCGGGAGAGTGGAACGTGGAGACCCCAGCGTCAGGGTCAGACGGCGGCTCTGGTGCTGGGGCTGGATCCAAGGCAAGTGTCTTCAACTCCTCACTGTCCTTCTCTATAAAATGGGATGGAAACTCTGCCAGGCGGAGGGACTACTGGGCAGATGGGGGGTCCTGTTCTGGGGCTGGCCCGGGTCTGAGTGGTCTTTAATTTCACCTTCCTCTTGGTAACAGCCGGTGCTCCAAGGGGCCGGGTGGGAAGCCGCGAATGCAGTTATTCTATTACTTGGTTTCAGATTTCTGCTCCTCCAATCTTTCTCTCCCTCTCTATCCCTTTTCCCAAATTAAAATGCCCTTGCTTTATAACATCAGGACAAGGCTTGTCCCCTTTTGGTGGGTCTGGTCATTGTGGTGGACTGTAGTTGGGTAAACAAGAAGAGGGACGGTGAAGGGTGGCATCTCTGGAKCGTAGGGGCAGCGACTGACCTCTAGCAGCCTGCCCTTACCCCCCCACACACACCCCCAGGCAGGTTCCCCCTTGGCCTGTTGGTGGCACCCAGGCCCCCCTGTGGCCCCCAAGCACTTGGCGTAATTGCTGTCCTTGGCCAGGGCAGCCCGCCCTGCTCAGGGAGTCCTTGGTAATTTGCTCGGTGCCTTGTTTTGCTGGTTGTGGGTTGGGGCGTGGGTCTGGGTTTTTTCTTTTTATGGCTCTGCATGAGAAATGTTCTATAAAGTTCTGTATTTTGCTCCAGGGCCCTCCTGAACCCAACCAGAAATCAGATGAACGTGTGTGGTCCCGTCTGCCGCCTGTCACCGCACACTGGGTGCTTTTTGGAAGGTCGCCTCTTGTGGGCCTAGAGAATATTGGGGCGCACGTCGTAAAACACAGGCCCTGCATTTGCATCATGGGTCACGTTTGTTTTCTTAAACCAGTCACAGGAGGTCACATGCCGGGGGACTCTGTTTATGTAATGCTCTCAAGATGGCATTTCAGACGTGGGGAACAGACTCGTCGCCAGGGGTGAAGGGTGTTGATGAGGGACCAGGGCGGTTCACCATGGGGAGAAGTCTTCGCGTGGTGGATTGTTCTCTATATTGGTGACAGCGGTGGGGACATTACTCCACAGGTTCCCCTGCCAATGTCCATTTCCCGTTGTGATGTCACACTGTAGTTAAGGAAGATGAAACCAGGAGAGGCATTGAGTGAAGGGTACTCGGGACCTCTCTGCACTATTTTTGCAAATTCTTGTGACTCTCCAATTATTCTCAGGGTTTAAAGTTTCTAAAAAAAAAAAAAAAATCCACGGACAGCAAAACCTCATTAGCCAAATAATGAGCCGTTGTTTTACCTGCGCTGAGAACGAGGCACCCAGAGTGCAGCGCTCAGCCGGGCCCTTCACCTGCGCCAAGTTCGCAGCAGTGAGAACCCCTCAGGCCTGGGGGCGGGCACGGAGTCCAGGACCCAGAGCCGGACCAGCTGGCTCTCCCCCCACGCGAGGCTCCCGATCTGCTTGACCGAAAGATGGGGCTAAATTAATCGCATGGAGCTGTGTGTCGGATGCTGGCCTTGGGTTGTGTCCCCAGCACCCCTACACACACACACACACACACACACACACACACACCCCACTGTCTTCCTGCGAGAGCTTTGGATCACAGCCTTCAGATCAGGGAGTAGAAACATGGTCAGGAGGAGAAACAAGACGTGGCCCCTGGGACTGTTAACTGGATGAGACACTCTCAGGAGCAGTATGCAAATGGGAAATGAGAAAACCTAGCAATTTGACCTTGGGGAGCCACTCCTAGAGAACTACCCACATAAGAACCCAAGAAGGCTTGTCCCAGTCACTGTGGATTTGGTAACAAAACCACAAAATTGGAAAACAAGAACTGGCCACATGAACTCTGGGGTAGGCATACCTGGGAATACTATACAGCAAGGAACAGAATAAACGAGATCTCTGTGGCTTGACGGGGCATGAACGCCCAGGAATTGAATTATGAGAGTGGAAAGAGTACAGAACAGGATCTACAGGTCAGTAACATGAATAAAAACATGTTCACCAAACAC